GCAACTCCATTTTTCCAGGGATTCAGCCCAAACACCTTGGAGTCGCCCTTGACTTCTCTCACATCCAAATCCCCCATCTCGGGTCTAATCCAACAGCAAATCCAGGCAGCTGTGCCTGACAATATTCACCGAGTCTGACCCCTTCCCCACTGCCGCCACCCTGGTCCAAGCCATGACCATCCTCATCCAGATTAGGGCAACCAACCCCTAAATGTAATCCCCGCTTCCTCTTTCCTCTCCTTCAGAATACAGCAGCAGGGGACTTCCTAACAAAACATAAATCGGGTCCTGTCACTCCTCTCGAAATTCTCCGAAGGCTTCTCAAACCACACAAGTGAAAACTCAAAAGTCTTCGAATGGTCAACATGGCCCCGTTCTGCTCCAGCCATTCTCTCCCCACCCCCACTTTATCTCTCACTACTCTTCTGGGCTACTCCTCAAAGGTGCTAAACAAGCTCTGCCTCAGGGCCTTTGCACTGAGGCCTCCCTAACTAAAATCATACCGCCCACAATTCCCTACTCTCTTTTCTATGGTAGTTTCCTCTCCAGCATCTACTACCACCTAACAGACTCTATACTTTACTTACCTTGCTTATTTAATGATCTGTCTCCTCCCACTAGAATGTAAATTCGGGGGGGGGGGGGCAGGGGTGTTTTTTGTTTGCGAATGTATCACCAATGACTAAAACATTCCAATACATCATGTGCTCAATAAATATTTATTGGAGAAAGAAGGAAACACCAAGGAAAAGAGATCTGTAGTGAATTCCTTTATTCCTCTTCTACCAACTCTCCTGAAAGTGAATTTTCTGTAGTCAAGCCACTGAAATCTGGAAGGGACATACGGTGCATGGTATAATACCATTATTTTCCCTGCGCATATGACTAGCCCTTCTGACTCTGAATGATCCGGGCAAAAAACAGCCATCTGCCCTCTCTTTCCAGATTGGCCACTGCCGCCCTCACACAGCAGCATTCTCTGCTTCCAGGTTCGTGTCTGATCCGACGCCGTATTTTATGACTGCAAGGTGGCTCTTTTTTTAAATTTTTAATGTTTATTTTTGAGACAGAGAGATAGTGTGTGAGCAGAGGAGGGGCAGAGAGAGAGAAAGAGAGAGAATTCAAAGCAGGTTCCAGGCTCCGGGCTGTCAGCACAGAGCCCGATGCGGGGCTCCAATCCATAAACCGTGAGATCATGACCTGAGCCGAAGTTGGACACTTAACCGACTGAGCCACCCAGGAGCTCAGTGACTGCAAGTCTTTTGATCCAACCTCTGTGGATATTAACCAACTCTAGAAAGATCACCCTTATGAAGGATCAAGGACAATTTGTAACACAGAATAAGATTGTGTTCCCCTAGAAAAAGATACCCAGGGTCCAAAGAAATTGATTTGTCTTCAGTCCTACGGGAGGTAGGCAAATTCTTTCATAAAAAGCTGCTGCAAAGGAGGGAAAATTGGGCCGGGCTGCCATCAATTCAGTTTTCCCATCTTTTTATGTTCTGCATTGGAAAATAACAAATTTGTCACACAAAGACATCACAAAGGCAAAGTAAAAAGCCCAAGTTTTCTCCGATTCCACCTAAATCCCAATTCCCATACCAGGCTGACTCATCTGCAGATTGCTTCTTTCCTCTGACCCCTACACAGATGCCTTTCGGTGTTCGTATTTTCGAGCACGCCCGCAACACACAGCCTGATGTGCCTTTGTGGGAGACCCTCTACAGCCGCAGTTCTCAAACTCTTTTGATCCCAGGACCTCTTCACACTCTTGAAAATTGCAGAAGACCCCCCATGAGCTTTTGTTTACATAGATTATCTCACCAATGTTTACCACACTAGAAATCTAAACCGAAACTCTAAAAGTTACTCATTTAAAAGCATTTGGGGGGGGGGGGGCACCTGGGTGGCTTAGTCGGTTAAGCGTCCAACTTTCGCTAGGTCATGATCTCAGGGTTTGTGGGTTCGAGCCCCGCTTCGGGCTCTGTGCTGACTGCCAGCTCAGAGCCTGGAGCCTGTTTCAGTCTGTGACTCCCTCTCTCTCTGACCCTCCCCTGCTCACGCTGTCTCTCTCTCTCTCTCCTAGAAATAAATAAAACATTAAAAAAATAAAAAAATTAAAAAAATAAAAGCATTTGGGGGGCGCCGGGGTGGCTCAGTTGGTTAAGTGTCTGACCGGCTCAGGTCATGATCTCACGATTAGTGGGTTCGAGCCCCGCGTCAGGCTCTGTGCTGACAGCTAGCTCAGAGCCTGGAGCCTGTCTTCGGATTCTGTATCTCCCCCTCTCTCCCCTGCTCGCGCTGTCTCTCTCTGACTCTCAAAATTAAATAAAAAACAACAAAAAATTTTAAAAAATAAAAGCATTTGGATTACTGGAAAAAAACTGCCACCAAAAAAGTAGCCTTTTTAGATCACTGTAAGATATTCTTTGAAGCTACACCAAAGCGCCATTAAGTGATAGTTTCTTAAAGGTTAGTTGTGATGAAGAATCTAAAACTGTACCAAGGACCTTTTGTAACATTAAAATCCATTGGTCCACTTGCACCCTGGATGGATTTTTCACCTGTGTGTGATTTTATGATACCGTGTAGTGGTCCCTCAGAAAATATGGGTTCCCTGAATTACACAGATTTTCCGAATAACACATTTCATTACATAAGGTATCAGAACACCACACCTGTAAATATCACCGCCAACCCCAACATCACGGTAGCAGATACAAGTTTTCCAAACTCCTGACCTTTACTGGAAAGCTGAAATTTTATCACTGGCAACATCTACCACCAGTTGTTTTACTTGAAAGACTCCTTTATCCTTTTTTTCTGGCCTGAATAACGGTGGTTTGTCAGTGGCAGTCCGAGTAAAAACGGCAGTCCGGGGGGAAAAAAAGCAAGCTAGTTCAGTGTGCGCCTCAAACAACCGCCCATCTGCTTTTCCTGGAGAGATAACCATCAGACCTCAGCACACGGCCGAAATGCTTCCCGTGCACTTCTCACTTCACCCTACGGACTACTGAAAAAACCATATACACGAGGGGTGGGGAGGGGAGCAACGGTATATAAATTTAATCTTGTCTACGACCTCAGCAAGAACATTCAAGCGAAAAACAAACGTTTATTTTACCATGCTGTATTTATGATGAGTGCACGGCGCAGAGGGTACAATGGCTTCTAATAAAGTGCGACAGCCTTCATTCACGCTAAGAAGCCTGCACGACTTTTGCATCACTAGCGCAAAGAGTGCAAACGGCATCTAAGTATGGTATTAACGTGAAAACAGTTTTAACCTCTCAACCCTCTCTGAAAGGGCATCAGGGACACCTAGGGGACCAAACTGTTCTGTGCCGGAATGATTTCCTAGAAGTGAGATTACTAGGTTATTGGTACATATATTTTAAATTCTGCTAAATTTGACCAAAGCTCTCAGAAAAGTCTGTCCCGATTTTCATTATCCAAGGCTGCATGATCATCACTAGTTTAAAATGTAAGTAACTCAGGGGCGCCTGGGGGGCTCAGTAGGTTAAGCGTTCAACTTCGGCTCGGGTCATGATCTCACAGCTCGTGGGTTCGAGCCCCACGTCGGGCTCTGTGCTGACAGCTAGCTCAGAGCCCGGAGCCTGCTTCAGATTCTGTGTCTCCCTCTCTTTCTCTGCCCCTCTCTTGCTTGCGCTCTCTCTCTCAAAAATAAATAATGTTAAAAAAAATTTTTTAATATAAATAATTCATTTTATAAATCCTGAGTTGGGGAAGCACCAGAATGTAACAAATTTCAATATCTGCCTGCCTAAAGCCAGTGCTAAAATGTAACGAACATCAAGGAAAAATACAATTTGAGCACCCAAATTATGTAGATGAGGTAAATATTTGTCTGTCAGAAAGTAAAGCATCCACAGTCAAATCCAAGTTCCAAGGAACAGACACCTTTTTTGATTGTGATCACCCATTGCTCAAAGGCATCTGCGACTGAATTTCAAAGGAGATGCCCCTGCACTTCTCTTACACTGGCTTATAGAGTGGGTGGGATCGATACTCCAATGTAAAATACACAGTCCGAAAAATGTCAGGCTGCCACACTACCAACAGGACCCTAATTAATTGGCTCCCGGCCAGTCCCCATTACAGACGCGAGTCTAAGCTGACCCTTCGCTTCAAAACTTTGCACAGGACTCCTGGAAACGTACAGCGTGATACAGACTGTCTGCAATCAAATGCCAACCGTGTTCATAAAAATATCACAGGCAGCTTCCCTTGCTCCCAAATATCATCTGAAACAGGGAGAGAGAGGAAGGGGAGAGACCCCCCATCCCTGGGGGGACGAAGACTCCTCGGTAAGGTAAGATAACTAGAAACCAGCTTTCCTCGATGCACAAAGGGTGCTGCTTCCCCACTCAGTGTTTCCCATGGAGCTCCGGAGTGCGTATTTCCATGTCCTACGGAGGACTGAAAGGTCAAGGGTACCACTGTCAACTAGGATCTGTAGTTCTTAACCTTCTGGGATTTGGGGACACACGGGCCACTCTGAGGACACGATAAAAGCCCGCCGCCACTAAAGCAGTGAAGGACCCTCGGGTAGAAGGACCCTCAGGTAGAAGGATCCTCAGGTAGAAGGGCCCTCGGGTAGAAGGATCCTCGGGTAGAGCCCATGCCTTAGGTTGGAACAGGATCATGGACTATGATCCTGAGAAATGACTTAAGTCCAACCTCCTCAGGAAAATGGAAGAGTAAAATGGCTTATCTAAGGTCAACAGTGAGCGAGAAGGGGAGTTAGGCGAGAAATAAACAACTCAGAGAGATTCTGAAATAAAGCCACACAGAGTCCCAAGGGACTTCTGACACAGAGCAGGTTCCACCGCAAACTAAGAGGAAAAGTGCCGTCATCGAAGCGTTAAGTACACCTGGAAGAAACGCACACAAGCGCTTTTGTTCAAAAGTGCCTTCTGCAGATTCCTAAGCTGAGCACCTGAGGAAAAGCAGGGCGGGAAAGCCTGAAACGCACTCACCATGCTCCACAAAAACATTGCAGTGTGGACCCCCGTGCCTCGATGACTCCTTCTTCCCTGCTCCTTTGATAAAGTGCAGGGCAGGCAAACTCGGCCTTCTCTGGTCCCCAAGAACTTTTCCAGGCTGCTGCCCCATAAAGTAATGCGAGGCACCCCTTTCCAGAAGAGGGTTCAAGATCTTCCAGAATGGTCAGTGGGCTTGGGAAAGAAAACAGTATACGTGTGGGTTTTCACATTCACCGAATCTCCGCGAGTCAGTAATTGAGGTCAATCACGAAAAGAAATCTTCCGTGACCCAAGGCAGCACAGCTTTTAGCGAACACATGTAAACAGGAGTTCCGAATCAATCCGAAGTCATGCAATTGCAGTGCCGCCCAAAAGTTTCTTGAGTTTAAGTGTCTTTTACTGGCTTTGTAAGTTTCTTCCCTTTCAAGAAGAAAAACGAATATTCACAGGGATGCTGGCAGAGGGAACGCTAAAGTCATCTCGATTCCCACACATAAAGGAAATGTTGATCATCTCTGGACGCTTCTCCTGAGCTTTTCCTGTGGAAGTCACCCCCCCCCCCCCATCTTGGTTTCTTCGTCTTCCGACAAAGTTCCTGCCAAACTAGCTGTCGCTCCCGCGTCTCTATCTACCCTGCGCTCCGGAAAAGGACGCGCGGGTCACCCAGACTTCAGCGAGGGCTTGCCCTCGCCTCTGATGAGAAGGAATGCATTGCCAGCAACTTTTAAGTCCGCTTTTTAAAAGGCCTGTGAAACCAGTCCAGGCTTTTCCTCTGCATTAAAGTTTTTGTTTGGGCTGAGACTAAAGGGACCGTAGGTGACATTGGAAGAAGTCAAGGCATCGGAGGCTCCCGGGAGCAACCTGGGGGGAGGAAGGGGAGGCCACTTGACAGCAGGGAGAGGATATGAATGGGGGGCTCCAAGGCCACACTCGGGGCCAGGAGTGGGAGCCAGGGGCGGCTCCGGGGTAGAGGGGAGGCTGCCGGGGCGGGGCACGGGCGGCTTACTCGGGGGCGTCGCTCCTCCACGCCTCAGGAAACGGGGGTGTCCCAGGTCTGGGGGAAACAGAGACCACCCCCAGTGTCAGGGCAGGGCTGGACCGGACAGGGGACGCTCGCGGCCCCGAAGGCGGAAGGCGGGCGGGGGGGTGGGGGGGGAGGAGGAGGCCCGGCCGCCTCAGCTGCTCCGAGCCCAGGGGTCTCTGCCCGAGACACCCCCTCCCCCGGCTCCGGACGTTGTTACGGCCGCCGCCGCCGCCAGGCAGTCACATCCCCGGAACTCCGCCGCGGGACCCAGCCTCTGCCCCCGCAGGTGGGGGCCGTGGACAACGGAGGGGCTCCTCAGCCTCAGGACACGGGGACCGGCTCCGGCTCCAGCGCCGCTCAGGGACGGACACCGACCCCCGCGGCCGCCATGATGGATTAGGAGCCGCTCCACAACGAGGCCAGGCCCCGCCCCTGACCCCGCCCCCGCCGACGTCCGGCGCGCGCCTCGCGGGGACCCGGGCCCTCCCGGCGTCGCTCTCGGCGACGCCGCCGCGCCCTCCGCCTCTGCTCTCCCGGCCCGCCAGAATTCTGCCCCACACGACCTTTTAAATGTGGTTTTTCCGAGCGCAAGGTGAGCGGCAGGGAAGCCCCGCCTCCCCTGTACCGCCATTGGTCCCTGAGAATCCGGGTCAGGTCTCTCTCCTGCGTCCCATTGGCCGGTGAGGGCAGTAGGCTAGAGTTCCCAGCCAACCCCAAGCGGCGCAGGCCGCAGGGCACGCCGGGGGCTGTAGTCCCGCGGCGGCCGCTCCTGTCCGCGCGCACCCGAGACTTCTTGCCCTCTGCTCCCGGCTCCTGAGCTTCGGTCCCGCCCTCCTGGGAGCCGGTGGACTCTCGCCGGCCTCGCGCCGGGCGGGCCAATGTCTCTCCCGCGCGGGTAGTAAGACCGGCGAGGAGCCAAAGCAAGGGGAAAACTGCGGCCTGGATCCTCGCAGAACCGGAGTTGGATTACTTCCTTAAGCCTCTTTAGGGAAGAAAATGTGGCCGGCTGCCGGAAACCAAGGTATTTGGTGCCTTACCCTCCCTCCCCAAATTCTCACCTTTTCCCCAAGAAGTATATTAGGACTGGCAAAAAGTAAATGACTGAAGAGCATCCGACCTATTGCTAAGGAATCTTCCTTGGGTATCCGGAGGCTCCCTCATTAAAGGAACAGCATTTGTTAAGCACCTCTCAGGGGCTAAGCCAGGCGCGATCACAGCTGCCTGAGCTAGAAAGAGCCTTTAAGATGAAACGACCTCATTTTGTAGATATACGTGCATATGCATGAAAACACCCTGTTCGCTGAGAAAATACTGACTGCTGGGTTAGCGGGCCACAGAGACAATGACCCAGACACACCAAACCCACACTTGTCATAACCCATCTCCTGCGACTAAAAGGCACCCTGGTCCCTTAGTCTCCACCCTCTGTGTGTCCCCAGAGCAGTGCACCTGATTGGGATATAAGCCGATGCCTAAGGAGACCCACACTCGTCCTAGCGCCTACTCTGTATCATTATGCTTTCCACAAGCTACATTATCTAGTATAATCCTCACTGTAGCCCAGTGGAGCACGTAATATTATTCCCCATCATACACCTGAGGAAGCCGAGTCAGAGACGTGACTTACTCAAGGTCACTTGCCTCGTTAGTAGGCAACAATGTCCCCATTTGAGCCCAGATGAATCTTGCTGCAAAGCCCAGGATTTTTCCACTGTACCACTCAGTATCAAATAACTTGACCAAATGTTAGACAGTTGATTTTCCAGAAGTTATATGAGTTACGGATTTTAGAAACATTTTTTGCCGGATGGGGAAATGGTAGTGACTTAGTAGATAGTGGCTTCAAGAAGAAATAGTCGTGTAGAGGTACTGAATGTAAGTACATGAAAACTTGTACCCATACTTAGAACTGCAATTTATTAATTCAGAGTAGGTTTTGCTTTGCTCTCATGAAATGATCAATGGCTGACAAACTTAGTCCTGACTCAAAGTACCATTCTTCAAACATTCAGCGCCCTTGTTCTCCTTTATTTACCTACGATCCTACCCTGGTCACTTTTTACTTTTAGCAGTTTTGCTTTCTTTCTATTCAAGCTGTCATCGCATCCTGTGCATCATCATTCTCTAGTTTGGCTTAAAATTGGGCAATTGGATCAGAATTCCTTTTTTTTTTTAACGTTTATTTTTTTTTTTAAATTTTTTAAAATGTTTTACTTATTTCTAGGAGAGAGAGAGAGACAGCGTGAGCAGGGGAGGGTCAGAGAGAGAGGGAGACACAGACTCTGAAACAGGCTCCAGGCTCTGAGCTGGCAGTCAGCACAGAGCCCGACGCGGGGCCCGAACCCACGAACCGCGAGATCATGACCCAAGCGAAAGTCGGACGCTTAACCGACTAAGCCACCCAGGCGCCCCTAACATTTATTTATTTTTGAGAGACAGAGCACGAGCCGGGGAAGGGCAGAGAGAGAGGGAGACACAGACTCCAAAGCAGGCTCCAGGCTCTGAGCTGTCAGCACAGAGCCCGACGCAGGGCTAGAACTTCCCAACTGCAAGATCATGACCTGAGCTGAAGTCAGGAGTCTGACACTTAACAAAACGAGCCACCCAAGCGCCCCTAGAAGTTTCTAATATGCATTTCTTGAACTAATTCATTCAACATATGTTCGCTGAGACTCATATGTGCCAGACACTGCTCTAGGTGCTGGTATACATGGGGGGGGGGGGAACACACTCATCCTTGTCCGAGGAACACACACAGAGGGAGGGACAGGCAATGAGCAAAATGGTAGCTCAAAGGAATGGTCTCGGTGCTGGAAATAAAATTTCTGAACCCATGTTCTTTCACGAACAGTCAAACCCACTCTCTAGATTATTATTCTTTTTAATTTGGGGGAGAGTGAGAGAGAGAGAGCACGCACACGCAGGTGAGCAGAGAGGGGGAGTGGGAGAATCTTAAGCAGGCCAATGCAGGGCTCAATCCCATGACCCTGGGATCGTGACCTGAGCCACCCAGGCGCCCCATTCCAACCCACTCTCTAAAAGGTTGTTTATAGCTCCCTAAGGCTTCAGCCTCTTCCTGACCCACAGTTCTACGATCCACAGTTCGTACTGAGCTCAATCAAGTCATTCTCTCTGAACCACTTTCTTCATTCTTAAGTGAGGATCACATCTGCTATCAAATGAGATCCTGTTTGGTCTTCCACAGGCTGAGATTAGCTTCAGGGGTCAGCATGGAAGCCGCCTGCACCTGATCTAAATGCGTAGCCAATCTCCATTCTCCACTAACCATCTTCTGGTGGTGAACCCCAGGCCAAGACTACGGTATTTACTAGAGCTGCACTGTCCTCTTTTCTCCCTGTATAACACTGCAGAATGATACCCTTGAGGCCGTAAAACTAAAATCCAGAGCCCGGCAAAGGCCTGATGGTCAGAAATCAGTCTTGCCAAACATTGAATAAATCCCTTTAGGTTCAAATATTCTTTTCGTTGAAAGCAATTCAGTTCAGTCTAATTCTGTCCTCACTTTTATAAAGCAAAACAACCCACAAGTTGCTACAGGAACTCAGTACCAGTTTAAAAATTTCAGCTTATGCCATTTTCTTAAAAACACCCACTGGAATTAACACTCAACAAGAGTGCCCTCTAGTGGGCCACAGGAAGTAGATAAGCCCGAAAAGGAGCTTTCAGACCTTTCTGGTATATTCCCACTTGGCAGGTAATTGCCATTCCTGATATACTGAGAGTACAGCACAGGCCGGCAGCCTGGGAAAGGCCAAGTGAGGGGCGCCTGGGTGGCTTAGTCAGTTAAGCGTCTGACTTTCACTTAGGTCATGATCTCGCGGTTCGTGGGTTCGAGCCCCGCGTCGGGCTCTGTGCTGAATGCCAGCTCAGAGCCTGGAGCCTGTTTCAGTCTGTGACTCCCTCTCTCTCTGACCCTCCCCTGCTCACGCTGTCTCTCTCTCTCTCCTAAAAATAAATAAAACATTTAAAAAAAAAAAAAAAGAAAGGCCAAGTGAGAACAAACTCTCAAGGAGCTTACAAGTGACCCCAGCCCAAACTGCCAAAGAGGCATTTGGCCTGTGTCCTCAAAAAGAAACCAAGTGAGCAAATCTCAAGTTACAACACAGCCTATGGAATTTCAGTTGTCTGCAAACTCCTCAAACAGATGAGACACAGGATAGCAAAAAAAATAAAAAATAAAAATGAGGTAAAATGATACCCCTTGAGTAATGTTACCAGGACGAGAAACATACCGTTAACTGAAGAAAGGCCGATCTGTAGTTAAAAACTGTCAAATGCAGTGTTCAAAGTCACTGCCCCTGAAACTGCCCTCAGTTTACATTTTCCTAGGAGACCTGAGTAGAGCAGTTAAGGCCTCCGTCAGAATCTGTATCTGCTAAGCCCTCCTTCAACTATACTCAGCTCTCAAGTATTACACGGGACACAAGAACAGAAAGTGATGTGGACACGTTTACAAATATATAAAAATAGTTCACTGCACGTGTGAAATAAAATAGCACTTTATAGGGTGCCTTTAAAAAAAAAGTTTCCCCAAACCTGAATCGGAGTACCATCTTTAGTCACTAGGAAAACGGACACCCGGGAGTTCTACATTCCTCAGTGAGAACTCCCAACTTCTTGTTAACCCTGCAGGATTCCAAAGTTCACGCAGTACAGCTTCCACTACAGCACGAACACAGCTCTTCTTTTCCTGCCTGCACTCCTGCTTCCGTGCTCCTCAGAGCACCCGGAGCATCCATTCTATTATTGATAAATCAGCTTCTTACAAATCACCCTAAAGACAGGACAGATCATGGCAGCCTGCTATAGATATACTCGCATCTGTCACTGGAAGGGACCTGCGATGGGAAGTAACATTCCGACCAAGCAAAGGCTGCTGGGTTAGCTTTATTCTGCTATTCGACTGCTGTGTTAACTTACTAACTATAGTCTTCGATGTCGTACTTGTGCTGCAGAGGTGGAGACAGAGGCCAAAACAGATAATCTGGGGGTCAGGGAGGCCATGCTGCTTATAGGGGCAACTTCGCGGGGGGCTCTGAGCCTTGTGAATTGATGGTGAGTAGAAGACAGAAGACCCTCCGTATTATTCCAGGATGGGAGTCCACCCGGCTGAAACACCACGTGCTTTTAAAGGCTCGAAACCAGCCCTCGTGCCGGACTCTGCGGGCAACCCACGGGGCTGGCGGCACGCCCCCCAGGCTCTGCCTCAGAACAGGAGAGAGCAGGTCTTCGGGCCAGACGCAGCCCAGTGTGCGTGAAGTGGCGAGTTTCACAGTTCTCTGCGGAGCCTCGCGTGGGGACCGCAAACCAGCTTCTCCGCTTTCAAGAGCTGCTCCGCTCAGTTACGCACAGTCCCGACCTCCCGATGTCTCTCTTTATCCCTCCTGTTCTAGAAGCCTCTGGCGTGTTTCCATCACTATTTCCTCCATTATTTCTGGCTTTAAGATGTCTTTGATCTAAAGAAGAAAAAGGTATTTGTTCAGAAAAGAAACCAACTGTAAGCAACTATGAGCCGACCCAATGCAGAAACCAAGCACGGTTACCATAACCCTTCTATTTTCTATATTCCTTTCATTTATCAGAGACTCAGGTCTGCTAGACCCGGCTTAACAAATCAAGAAGCCCCGGTAAACAGGGGCGCCTGGGGGGCTCTGTCGGTTAAGCGTCTTGACTTCTGCTCAGGCCATGATCTCATGGTTCGTGGGTTCGAGCCCCACGTCAGGCTCTGTGCTGACAGCTCAGAGCCTGGAGCCTGCTTCAGATTCTGTGTGTCCCTCTCTCTGACCCTCCCCTGCTCACACTGTCTCTCTCTCTCTCTCAAAAGTAAATAAATAAATAAGAATCCCCGGTAAACAGCGACAGGAACAAAGATCTTATCCTGACACTCACGAAAAAGCTGAAATCCGGGACGGGCAAGGGGACGTCCTGACAGCTGCTGCCCTGACCCAGTCCTGCCCGACGCCCCCACCCCCCGAATCCCCGCACTGACACTAGGCACTGCGAACATCACAAGTGTCCCAGGGAGGCATCTATCGGACCCTTGAGAGGGCTGCCCACCGGATCACACCCAGACCGACGGCCAAGGTAACGGTTTCTGGGGGCCGGGTGCTCTCGCCAAGGAGGCGCCGGAGCAGGCGGCGAACACGCAGTGCCGACCCCGCGGACGGGCGCGGGGAAGGGAAGGCCTGGCCGGAGTACCTGGTGGGGGAGGGACGCCTCGTAGCAGTACAGGATGCTGGTGTCGTACAGCATCATCCTCTGAGTGACCAGCGACACGATGCAGTTCCGGAGCCGGGAGATCACCTCCCGGTCGGTGAGGGACACGGGCTACCAGCGGGCACAGAGGGAAAACAGAATCAGAGCGAGAGTCGGCGAACAGTCCCGGCAAATCACAGGAATCATTTGCAGCTAAACCTGTAGCACTGTGGGACCCCGACCAGCCAAACAGCTGACTCCGAGGGAGTCGGAAAAGGAGGCCCCTTCGCGAGCTGTTACCCGGTAACTCACTACCTCTGCCGACGAAGATCAAAGCACTTCCACCCCCACCCCCTCTTCAGGAAAAGAGAACGCACGGGGCGCCTGGGCAGCTCAGTCGGTTAAGCATCAACTTCGGCTCAAGTCAGGATCTCACGACTCGTGAGTTCGAGCCCCACGTTGGGCTCGCTGCTGTCAGCAGAGCCCGCTTCGGATCCTCTGTCCCCTTTTCTCTCTGCCTTTCCAAACCCACTGGTTCATTCTCTCTCTCTCAAAATAAATAAGTAAACTTAAAAAATCAAAAGAAAAGGGGCGTCTGGGTGGCCTAGTTGGTGAAGCGGCCAGGTTCACTCAGGTCGTGATCTCACGGTTCATGGGACTGAGCCCCGCGTCGGGCTCTGTGCCGACAGCTCAGAGCCCGGAGCCTGCTTCGGATTCTGTGCCCCCTCTCGGATTCTGCTTTCCCCTCTCCCCCTTCCTTGCTTGCACGCTATCTCTTTCTCTCTCTCTCTCAAAAATAAATATTAAAAAAAATCTGTAATAAATAGAGAGACAAGGCAACACAACGCTCACGAAGACACCTCGATGCAGAGCCAAACTGAGACCACGGCAGCCGTGCCGTATCATGAGCGGCTCCGCCTGTCCCAGAAGCACCGCAAGGATGGAGCGCCATCCCGCCGCGACAGCCGCACTGCGCTTCCTCACCTCCAGGTTGGCGACGAAGCCCCCCGCATCCTCTTCTTTGTGCTCGGGTGTGGGGTAGATCCAGATAAAGCCGTTGTTGCCCAGGATCACCGACGCGCCACACGGCAAGTCATGGAAGTGAGTCTTCTGCCGTTTCACCAGGGAGGGGGACACCTGGACCAGCACGCCCTGACCTAGCTGGGGACACACACACACACCAAGTCACAGTAGGTCATCCGTGCGGTGGTGAAAAGCCGACCACAGGAGGCGCATCGCGTTACGGCGGAAGCAGGGCCACTCCCGTCGCCAACGGCAGTCTCCTGGACGCGCACACACCGGAAACACTCCCGGAGAGCGCTTCCCGATGCAGAGGTCGTTCATGTGTCCCGAGAGAAGGGCACTTTACAGGCTCTTCTCCCATCTTCCCGCCATCCTATATTTATCATCAAATCCAAGGTCGCTGCGCCCAGCAGTCAAAGAAGCTGGAGCTAATGAGGACGTGAGCCCGAGCCTCTTGTGGGCCAAGGCGCGCTCTTCTCTTCCACCTTGATCCCAACCGCCTACCCTGCCTGTGAGACGCATGCCGCAGGGCGAGAGGACTGGCCAAGGGCTGGGTGCGAATCCACCCCGGGTCCTGGCAGGCCAGCTCCAAGCCCCCATCCCGCTGATGGAGGGTCTGCAGGACCCAGTCCCGTGAAAGTCCGCACACGCGGTGCCGCTTTCCACCTACTTCAAGGCTGCGTGTGTGGCTGCCCATGGCCGCTCCACAAGGGAACAGGCTTCCGTCCCACTCCGGAATGAAAAGGTTCACCCAGATGAAGCCAAGAGACTAGGGAGTCACGATTTGTTTTAGAAAGTATATCGTCAGGGGCGCCTGGGTCGCTCAGTAGGATTGAGCATCCGACGTGGGCTCAGGTCATGATCTCACGATGTGTGGGTTCGAGCCCTGTGTCAGGCTCTGTGCTAACAGCTCGGAGCCCGGAGCCTGCTTCCAATTGTGTGTCTCCCTCTCTCTCTCTGCCCCTCCCCGCTCCCATCTGTCTCTCTCTCAAAAAATAAACATTAAAAAAAATTTTTCTTTTCTTTAAAAAGTATGCTGTTGGGGTGCCTGCGTGGCTCAGTGGGTTAAGCATTCAACTTCGGCCCAGGTCACGATCTCATGGTTGGTGGGTTCGAGCCCCATGCTGGACTCTGCACTGACAGCTCAGAGCCTGAAGCCTGCTTCTGATTCGGTGCCTCCCTCTCTTTCCCTCCCCTGCTCATCCTCTGTATCTCTTTCAAAAATAAACATTATAAAAATAAAGAACAAGAAAATTATGCTGCTAAAAAACAGCCTCAGTAATGTAACCTCACACATGAAAAGCAGTGACATTTCATTTAGAGGCTCAGTGGCAAACCAACCGTGCCGAGTGATGCTATCAGATCCATTTACTGACGGACATTTGTCTGGAGCCAAGGCCTTCGGGTTTCAACGCACCACCTCCCTCTGCTCCGGGTACAGCCTCTACCCCTGGCCCCAGTGTGGAGCGGCAGCACCCCGGGAGGCAACAGGCACAGCAGGGCCCCCGGGCCACGGTCACAGCAGCTCTCCGGCCACAACCATCCGCTCGCTAGGAGGAGAGTTAGAAGCTGTCGTCCGTTACAGCACCGCTGACCCGAGAACCTGCCGGCGTGCGGGATGCCAGCCTGTAACGCTTAGCTTCTGGAGTCCTTTAGGGCCGAATCCCAGAGAGCCTCCGGGATACGGAAGAAAGGACTCGAAGCCTCAGTCAGCACGCGACAACAGCAAAGTCCAACTTACTTTTCCGTATTTCAGACTCCTCGTGTGCAGAGAGACGGCTCCATCGGAGAACACCGCCTGCACTTCCGCCTGGCCAGGGTGATCAAGGAACAAACGCTTCCAGGCCCGCTGCCTTCCGGCGTCCCTGCCCTTCCCTCCCGTCCCTAGCAGTCCCACCCGCAGCCGCAGCAGCCCCGGTGACGTCACTGCAACAAGGTCTCTCGCCCCCTTGCTTCTCGTGAAGGTCCTGACACGAACACCTTTTCTCCTCCTCCCTGGGTAAGAGCTACCGTGCTTATGAGAAGTGGAGTCGAGCCCAGGGCCCGGGCCACCGTAAGTTACAAAACCCACGGAAAGGACTCGAGGCAGCAGGTCTGAACAAGAGCCGCAGAGGCCGGTTGGGTTAAGGAGATTCAGGAAGCCCGCGGCACAGCCCCTGACCCTCGATCCAGGATTCAGATCCCCGCCAGGACCCGTTCCTCCTGGCGGAGGCATACAGCGTAAGCCCCACGTCCCGGCTCCACAGAGAACACAGAGACGCTGCAACGCAAGGTGCGGGATACACTGATAAGGTCCCCTTCCTGCAAGAACCCTCTCATCGCCAGCTCATCTTCCGCAGACCTCCGCCTCTGAAACACACAGAGAGATGCCGTTACTGAAGTCAGACAGATGCTGCCGCAAGTTCACTCTCCATCTTCTTTCTCTTTCACTTCTGCTCGAGGTCTCTGCAGCCACGGCATTCAAACGCTAGAGTAGGTAAGCGGCGTCACTCAAGGAAAACCAGAGCGATCGCCACTACTTTCTGTCTCCTGGAAAGAGATCCCCGGGGCTCCTCTTCCTCCTCCCTCCCGCCCTCCTCTGGATAAACTTCCAGCTCCTTCCATGATACTGAAAACGCTCCCAGTGGTGCCCAGCCCTCTTTCCCACACTCACCTTCCATGGCAGCCGTCCCCGCTCCAGCAGGCCCAGCCTACTGCCTGCCTGACTGGATCTTTACTCACACTTTTCCCATCAGCTCAGATTCCCTGTGAAATTCTACCCATCCTTCAAGGATCAAACCCAACGCCCCTCTTTCCTATGAGCGCTCACTCCTTCTGCACAATCACACGCCTCTTTATCCCTCCGACTGCCCGTATTCAGACCACTTATTTCGTTCCCCCGCTCATCTGCACACTCTTTAAAGAACTCAGTTGCACCTCCTTTATCTTGCATTCTTTGGAGAAGCTAGCACAGTGAGCCTCTTCGCACATACGTGCTGGACTGAAGATAAACGTAAACCATGACATTTTACAAAAGGCTGTCCCTTAGGCCCTGTAGTTGTCTGGGATAACCAGATGCCATTCAATTCATGAAAAGCAAAGAATTTAAGCACAACTTTTCAAGGAACACATTCACTGTGCAAAGCCAATGCACCCAGAAAAGGAAAATGGGCACCAAGCATCTGAGAGCTTCTCTCCCAACTCTCTTTGGGGATCGCTCCCCATGGCTCGCTGTTCCAGATCCTACAACATACCAATTGCTGCTTCTTTTGGGAGGCCTGGGCCAGTAAAAAGCCTATGTGTGGGGCACCTGGATGGCTTAGTCAGTTTAGCATCCGACATCGGCTCACGTCGTTCATTATCTCCTAGCTCATGAATTCAAACTCCACACTGGGCTCTGCGCTGACAGCGCAGAGCCTGGAGCCTGCTTCAGATTCTGTGTCTGTCTCTTGGCCCCTCACCAGCTTGTGTGCTAGCTCGCTCTCTCTCTCTCAAAAAATAAATAAATAAACATTAAAAAAATTTAAAAATCTGGGGCGCCTAGGTGACTTAGTCGGTTAAGCGTCCGACTTTCGCTTAGGTCATGACCTCGCGGTTCGTGGGTTCAAGCCCCACATCGGGCTCTGTGCTGACTGCCAGCTCAGAGCCTGGAGCCTGTTTCGGAGTCTGTGACTCCCTCTCTCTCTGACCCTCCCCTGCTCACGCTGTCTCTCTCTCTCTCTCTCCTAGAAATAAATAAAAAACATTTTTAAAAAAATGTAAAAATCTAAGAACTTAAAAAAAAAAGTGTACAGGGACGCCTAGGTAGCTCAGTCAGTTAAGCGTCCGACTTCGGCTCAGGTCATGATCTCATGGTTCGTGGGTTCAAGCCCCGTGTCGGGCTCTGTGCTGACAGCTAGCTCAGAGCCTGGAGCCTATTTCAGATTCTGTGTCTCCCTCTCTCTGTGACCCTCCCCTGCTCACGCTCTCTTTCTCAAAAGTAAATAAAAAGCATTTTTTTAAAAAAAAGCATACGTGTAACACAGGCAGCAAACCTCACAGCAGACAAACAAGACTAAAAGAGGCAGCCTCACTAAAAGCAGAGCTCTCCAGTGAAGCAACAGACCCCAGACTTCTTGCTAGCAAATTCTACAGCACAGCATGGAGACCCTTACCAGCTCTCCTCCGGGAAGGTTCATAGATGAGAGAAGCAAGACCGAATCCAGCCTAGAGTTGGTCTCCACCTTCCACCTCTTCTGTTGAACCTACGGAGAAATTTCACGGTCAGACAGGCCCCAGAGACAAGCGCTCGTGTCATAAGCAACCAATAATCCCCAACGCGACAAGCCACCTGTTTACATCAAAGGGCACATCAGGGTCCAATGCAATGAATGCCCCATTTGCATCACTACACAGGCAATGACTGTGCCAGCCATTCAGTCACCAGCTTGCTTTCACTTTGTAAAAACCAATCTGGTATCGACTTTACCTCTGTGATTCTCCCCACTACAATGTCTCCTACTTCACCGTTATATCTGAAAGATAAGACAAAAGGTCGTCCATCAGTAAAAAGACCTCATCACAAGACCAAGCATCATTCATGATTTCGGTTAAAAAGGATGAGTGCCTTAATTACCCACCACATTTAAATATGGTAAATTCGAGGGGCGCCTGGGTGGCTCAGTCGGTTAAGCGACTGACTTCGGCTCAGGTCATGATCTCATGATTCGTGGGTTTGGGCCCTGCGTCGGGCTCTGTGCTGACTGCCAGCTCAGAGCCTGGAGCCTGTTTCAGATTCTGTGTCTCCCTCTCTCTCTGACCCTCCCCTGCTCACACGGTCTCTCTAAGAAATAAATAAAATATTTAAAAATTTTTAATATGATAAATTCACATACGTATGCTTTTTAAACTTCTTTCCAGGAACTGATAAGTTCAAACATTCCTACATGTATAAAGTCTTCATTAACTATTCTTACACAAACCATTTATTCCAAATAGTTCATTAAGCCTAAAACCCCTACTTTGTTAATTACATGCCAATGATAAGCACTGACTATTTCCTGGTGGGCTCTGGAACACAGATGGCTTCTGCATCAGCAAAGGAGGAGGAGACTGAGACAGGACCCCACCCCAACCCACGGTCTCCCCCCACAAGGTGCGCGCCTCCAGCCCGTTAGTTCCTTATCCCAATTCTAATGACGAGGTGTTCCATGCTGAAGGCTCCAGTCGGAGGCCTCTCCTCTGTCGGCCCACATTCACCGATGGTGAGCTCATCCAACTGAATGGCTTTAAATACTACCAATGACTATCCCATCCCCTGAATTCCAGACTCTAGTCAACTGCTGGCTACCCAGCATCTCTAGTTACGTGACTTAAAAGGCATTTCCAAATGACACCAACCTAAAGCAAAGCTTTCCCAAGGCCCTTTCCCCAGCCGCCATCACAAACTGGTCCCCTCCCAGCCATCACGGTCTCGGTCTCGGTAAATGGCAACACCGTCCCTCCAGTCGCTCGAGCCAAAAAGCTTGGGAGTCCTTGGAGGATCCCTTGATTTCTCGCTCGCTCTCCCCCCTTTCCCTCCCCCGCTCTCTCTCTCATGCTCCAAGACAAATCCAGCAGCTGACCCTACTGGCTCTACCTTCAAAATACACACAGAAATAAAAGGCATCCCAATTGGAAAAGAAGAAGTAACACTATCTCTATTCACAGACATGGTCCTATACATGGAAAATTCCAAAGAATACAAAATCCAGCACTGTTGCATAATAATCAAAAAAAACATCAACCACCTCAGGACACAAAATGGATGCAGATTCAGCCACTCTTCCCAACTCCTACCGCCATCTTGTTCCAAGCCACCATCACTTCAGATGATGAAAATAGTCCATTAACGTGGCTCCCTAAGCCTGCCCCTGCCCCCCTTCAATCTCCTCATAGCAGCCAGAGTGAAGAGAAGTCAGACCATGTCCGTCTTCTGCTCCGCCCCTTCCAGAGGCTTCCCAGATTACATAAGGCGGAAGACAAACCGCTTACCATGGCTACAAGGCAGGCTGTCTGCCCACCTCATCTCTCTTACTGCATCTGCCCCTACGCTCCCCCTTGCTTGCTCGGTTCCAACCCCACTGGCTTCCTTTCGGGAGCTAACCTTTATCAAGCCCTTCTAGGTAGTGGCTGGGCCCTGTGTAAGTCCTTTACACATCCTATTTCAATGAATTCTAATGAAAGTCCCACAAGGTGGGTCATACGATTATCCTCATTTTGCAGAGGAGGCAACCAAGGTTTGGAGAGGTCAAGTCATGGTGGGGGGAACCTCCGAGGCCCACACTTACCTACGGCCACCTACACCCTTTCAAAAGCGCAGACCTAGAGAATCGCAGACCTAAGGCAGGTGGGGGGGTTGGGGGGGGAACACCCGGTTGTGTGACATAAATGACGCAGAATACACACCTTTCGTTCTCACCTGGTTTTCAAAGCTTTCACACAGATCAACTTGTTTACCCTCTCCACGGAGCCGGCCACAGATGCAATGAGCTTCTCCTCCCCCATGTAGGTTCCGTGGCCCCTGTAACAAGAGTAGGATGCCAAGAATACACTTGAGATGAGGAACAACATATTCCTCACAGGCTCCTCCTACCATAAAGCCCGGCTTCTCCCTCTGCCCACAACACTCCTTTCGAGAGCTTCATGGACATCGCCTTTGTCTTACTCCCGTCTACTCAAGTGGCACCTTCTCCATTACGCCCACCTTGACTATCCCATTTAAAGCAGTCCCCCGCCATGCTGCCACCACCCCCACCATATCTCCAACCACATTCCACCGCTTCTGCTCAACTTTTCTTTCTCCCCATTCCAGTGATCACCACACACACGAACCCATTTGTTGTGTTCATTGCTTATTATCGGTCTCTCCCGAAATACACACTCCACAGGACACGGGTTTCCACCTTGATCACAGTTGTAATCCAACTGCACGTAATTTAAATATGAGTGGACTTCATGAAGGAAAGACTGACACTTAAGATTCCCTAGGTTCCAACAACCTCAAACCAAAAGGTTAAAGGGCACTGCTATCAAGGCTGTACTCCTCTCCTGTCCAGAAAGTCTTACACACCGCTAGCGTTTATCTAGGATGGTGAGTCTCCCTTCTTTTATTATTCCTTCATGTAACCCTCATTTCCCTATCAAACAGTTACTGTCACGATCACCACTGTGCAGAGGACAAACGGGACGTTGGAGAGAACACGGCTAACAACGCGGGATGGCGCAGGACCGGGAACCTCAACTGTCCGGGCCCAGAGCCTTCGTTCTCAACTACACGTATCTTACTGACCCCAGATTCAAAATGTGTATTCGGGTGCACATATATCGTGCGGCGTATCTGTATGCCCTAAGTACAAACAATCACTGAAACCAAGCGCCTGGCTAAGAGATGTCGCTGAGAGAAGAGGCGACCAAGTCAGAAACTGAAAAGGGGTCTCTGGCTCCTAACCCCCACCCCCAGTTTTGCAGGTCTCCAACGAAGAAGACGAGGAAGTCTCAGAGATCGGGGCCTCGGGCAGAGCACCCAAGACGCCTCGATACCAGAAGCCCAGGAGAGAGGCGTTCCCAAGGGCTGAGGCCAACGCGGACAGGGACTATCTGCGAGCTCAAGGCCTCGGAAACAAGGGGACTGTGATGCTCGGCTGTGCCCTGCGCCTGGCGTGTACTTAGGTGCAAGGGAACAGAGGCCACGTGCAGAGAGCCCAGCCGCCGCCCTTTGGGGCCCCGAGTCCCCAAGTCCCCACGTACCGCATGAATCCCGTGTCCGTGGTGATCGTGTCCCCCGGAACCACCAAGTGTTTCTTAGTATCGCGGCCCAAACTCTCGCTAAGGGGCTTGCGAGCAACGGGAAGCCTCATCTCCATCGCCATCTTGGCGCCAAAGAAGAGCGCAGGCGCAATCCAGCCGGGAACCGCAACATCCGGCTGCGCTTGGAGGGGCGGGGCGAGGCGGGGGCGGGCCTCAGAGCAACCGCCAATGGGAAGCCGCTAGCCTGGTGGCCATGTTGACTATTGGCAACCATTAGGTTAACATGAAGGGAATGAGGGAGCCGAGGGTCCATTTTTATTATTGGCAAGGCTTCACCTGTGGAATACTAAAAGCTCAGGTTGGGTGGCGTTTGATTCTTTACCAAAAATCTCTCATCATCATCATCCCATTTATTGTTTACCGGAGAGATAATTGAGAAATGGGTCTTGAGTTCCCTTCCAACTTTAAATTGCTAAAATGTGGTTCTTGATTCTTTGGTCTGAGAGAGCTTAGTAGGATGGGGAGGTGGGATCTCCAGAAAACGCTAGTTGGACAGAAAAACGAAGCTCTATTCATACTGTTCCCAGCAGTCCACTGTTCTACGTTACCACCTCCTCGCGGGTGCCGGCTCAACACCAACGTTGTATCCACATCTACCGAGAAACAGTGCTCCGGATGCTGCTTCTGTACTTTCTTAACAACTTCTTTTGAGTGAGCTGATTTACTCTAATTTAAAAGCAAAGCTGCCTAAGAAAAATAAGCAAACCTTGCAAGGCAGGTATATCTTGTAGGGAGGGCAAGTACACACATAATACAAAGATCTTGGCTTATATTTACTTACACAACAAATTGAGCATTCTGTGTGTCCCAGGAGCTGTTCTAAGGATCCAGTGGTGCACAGAGCAATGTATATGTGGCTTTATCTCTGCGTCCTGTTTCTTAGGAGCGTTTCCCTCCTCCCTTCTCCCTGCCTCCCACCACCCTCTCCCTCCCCCCCTGCCCTGCATGGTGTATAGCATCCACAGCCTCAGGGAGTAGGAGCTGATGATTCTTTATGCACAGGGACCCTAAAAAGGATTAAATTGACATCATTTCTTTCAGAGCAAAGCTCACAACTACATCCGTCAAGAAAGCCAATCCTGCAAGGCGGTCAAGGATATAAATTCCAGGGCTCCACGAGTCATCTGCTAAGCGGGCAGGACAGACACTTGCCCTCCTGCCTGGCGGAAAGGGGAGAGCTACAGAAGCCGGAGAAGGGTCCATCGGTTGAGTCTGGCCTCAGCCATAAGAGGGCAGTGGTGTCCTTTGAGCCGGGGTAGCCCAGTCAGCTAGGGAGCTAGACCTGAGTGTGCCAGTAAACCAAAAGCAGGGTAGTCTTGACAGCATCCACTTCCATGGCTGAAGGGACAGACATAACCTCAGCCCCTCCCATTCTCATATTGTGCTCACGTGTTTCCAGAGCAGCGCTGGGATTATGAATACTTGTGTACGGTGGCAGAGCCAATGTCTGTTGAGAGCTGGCTTCCTGGTTCACAGACAACTGTGTTCCCACTGTTTCCTTATTTGGCAGAAGGGGTGAGGGAGTCTCTGAGGTTTCTTATAAGGTACTGATCCCATTCACGAGGACTCGCCTAATCACCTCCCAAAATTCTCACCTACTCATACCATAAACTTGGGGGTTAGGATTTCAACACATGCATTTAGGGGGAGACACAAACATTCAGTCCACTGCAGATACCTTTTTGTAGAGGAAGAAGCTAAGGGCCAAAAAAGACTAATATTCACATAGTGGTTTGTGGCAGGGCCGCGTTTCCTTCCTAGTGCACCCGCTTTACCCCAAAGCCTTCACCATTTACTGCAAGCTTCTCAGGTGCCTTGTCCTTTGTTGAATGCTCTACAAACACGTTACTTAGTCTTCCCACTTGGCTCATCTTGGAGGTAGGAATTGCTATTCCTGACTGTCCCTTGGGGTGTCTGGGTCCCCCAACAGATCCACAGTTGGGACTGGAACCCCAGACTCCAGACCCCGCCCCCCACCAGTGTTTCTCTCTGGGCATCACACTTGCCTCTTCATACCTCAGGACAAAGCAACACCCTGGAAACAGAGTGCGCACCCCAAAGGAGCTTGTTAGGAATACGGATTCCTGAGCCCAAATGTGGGCTCAGATTCCACAAAGGTGGGGTCTGGGAGTCTATCGGTGTGTATTTTAACTCCCTAAGTGATTGTAACGGCCAATCAGGTCTAACGCTCATCGATTCCCCCTGCATCTATCTACCTCCCCATCTGTGCAGTTTTCAGGGCCACCGACCTCAGGTCGCTCAGTCACCTCCCACCTGGCATCACCTCCTAGGGAGGCTCCCGGATTCTACATTTGCCCCTCCTACCATCCAATCTCCATACAGCAGCCTGAGGGAGCTTTTATTTTTTTTTTTAACTTTTTTAAAATCTTTATTTATTTTTTGAGAGAGAGACAGAGTGTGAACAGGAAAAGGGCAGGGAGAGGAGACACAGAACATGAAGCAGGCTCCAGGCTGTCAGCACAGCACAGAGCCCAATGCGGGGCTTGAACCCATGAACCGTGAGATCGTGACCCGAGCTGAAGTCGGATGCTTAACCTACTGAGCCACCCAGGCGCCCTCAGAGTGAGCTTTTAAAAACACATCAGGTTAACCTACTTTCCTGCTCAGAAGACTTCTGGCAGCTTCCCTTTACACCAAGGAGAAAATCCAAACTCATCTTCGCTGGGCGCTAACTGTCTCTGACCCAACTCTCCTCCGATCCCGGCCAGACGTGCTGGTCTCATCTAAGTTCTACAGTCACCACACTGGTCGACCCGCCGAGACCAGGGCACTTTGGGTGCCCTGCGTGGAATTCTCTTCCTTTTGGTCTTTGTGTGACTGGCTGCTTCTCTTCACTCAGACCTCAGTTCAAACGTCACCTCCTCAGAGAAGTCTTCCCTGACCACCTTATCTGGAATAATCCTCAGTCCCTTTCTATCACTCGATCCTGTCTCATTACTGAATATTCTTGTGTGTCTGTTTGTGTATCGCAGACTTCCTCCACGAGAACGTGAGTGCTCCCAGAACCAGAAGCAAGGACTTTAGGTTTTGTTCAATGTGTATCAGTGATGGAATTGAGGCCTCTTCCAGGGTTAGCCATTTCCTAGAGATAGCAAACAACTGGCCCAGGGGTGTGCCTTTTATTTATTCTCAAGTTTATTTGAGAGAGAGAGAGAGAGCAGGGGAGGGGCAGAGAGAGAGAAGGAGAGAAAGAGAATCCCAAGCAGGCTCCACACTGTCAGTGATCTCAATGATCTCAATGACCTTGAGATTGTGACCTTAGCCAAAACCCAGAATCAGAGCTTTACCGACTGAGCCACCCAGGTGCCCCAGGGGTGTGCCTTTTAAATGCAAACCAACCGATCCAGAATCCAACCCGCCAACCACCGCCTCCTTTGTGGGGCTCACTCTGGGCCACCACCCACCTGCCCCGGATCAGGATCACCCCCAGATCAGGTACAGACAAGTAGGGACAGGCTCTATGCCCCAGAGCTCACTGAAAGTATTCCAACCAGCCACCCCGAAGCCTGCCTGTCCTGCTTCATTCCTTCCCTGGCAAAGTACTGGCTGTTACACACCGCAGGGTGCGGCGGGGCGAGCCGAGCGCTTGACTGCCCGTCATTAAGGTGCTCAGTAGGGAGGTGGGGGTGGGGGTGGGGGACAGAAAGACCCTCCTGGCAGAAGTGGCATTTGAGTGAGCCTGGAAAAGAAGTGTTGGCCCCTGTGTCAGTTGGGCTGAGGGGACAGGTGAAGTGAAAGTGAAGTCACCAACAAGGACATCTTGAAAAATGTGACCAGAGGCAGCAGGGCCCCTCTGGCCTGGGGCCCACTGGCCACCCCGCTGGCCTCACCCTGTGTTCTACTGCAACGGAAAAAGCAACCACAGAAAGTTCTGGTCAGAGACGCAAAGATTTCTGCACAAGGACGTTCATCGAAGTGCTGCTTCTCCTGAAAACGTCAGAAACGGCGGGGGGGGGGGGGTGGTTAAGTTTATTTATTTATTTTAAGAGAGAGAGAGACAGAAAGAGTGGGAGAGACAGAGAGATGGAGAAAATCCCAAGCAGCCTCCACAGAGCCCGATGTGGGACTCGAACTCATGAAACCGAGAGATCCTGACCTGAGCTGAAAACTAAGAGTCAGAAGCCTAGCAGACTGAGCCTCCCTGGCGCCCCTCTACGGCGGTTTCTAAGCATGTCCATGAACTTTTCGATATTTCCTCGATGGGAACATGGGGTTCATGCTCCTCCCCTTGTATCTGTGCAGGGCAGAGACTGTTCTGCCGGACAGCGTACATCCTAAGTATGTCTGGGTCACCATGGGGATAGGCTGGAGTAGCCACCTGCTTTCCTTGGGGCCCTTGTCTTGTAGCCCAGAACCAATGTGCGAGAAGTCTGACTTCCCCAAGGCGGCCACGTTGGAGGAGGCGGTCGGGAGGGAAGCTAACTGGCCACCATCCGCAACTTTTCCCACCATCCGCGGACACGCATCCCAGCAAGCCAGCTCGGAGGTGGGAAGGCAGCTGAAAAGTTTAGGACATTTGTTCCCGTCTCAAGATATTCAAGGATAATGGATATAGCAAAGGGTAGGAGAAAAGGGCGTGGACAGCCACCTCCGATGCCCCCTACGAGATGCCCAGTGGGATGAAAAGTAAAAAAAAAAAAAAAAAAAAAAGAAAAGCTACACCCATTCTCGTGCACCAAAGGCATCCCTATATTAACAATAGCTTCCATTTATTTACTTAATGTTTATTTTTTATTTTTTTTATTTCTTTAAAATGTTTTATTTATTTCTAGGAGAGAGAAAGAGAGACAGCATGAGCAGGGGAGGGTCAGAGAGACGGAGTCACAGACTGAAATAGGCTCCAGGCTCTGAGCTGGCAGTCAGCACAGAGCCCGACGTGGGGCTCGAACCCACAAACCGCGAGATCATGATCTAAGCGAAAGTCGGACGCTTAACCAACTAAGCCACCCAGGCGCCCGTTAATATTTATTTTTTAAAAGGGGGTGGGGAACAGAGGACCCGAAGCAGGCTCTGTGCTGACAGCAGAGAGCCCGATGCAGGGCTGGAACTCAC